CTGCCTTGCTACCGCCTTGTTGACGCAATTCCGCTTCGTCGGCGGAACAGACAACGTCTACAAGGCTCTTGCTCTGCGAGCCAGGACTGTTGGTTTAGTTATCGTTCTGTCCGGTAGTTCATTAACTGAGACAGTAAGTGGGTAAATTTGACACTGGACTCGGTTCTGATGCTTACTTACCTAGGTATTTGATTCTGTGGACGACAGCCCAAATGACATGATGATCTCTGCTTTGGACATACTCCGTGGATTCCATCAAGCTGTGGATTTAGCCACCTTGGAAAATGCTATCACTTTATATCAAGAAGCCCTGTCCTTGCAGGCACCCTCTCATCAAAAGTGGATCTGTTCTATGGAACTCACAGAGGCACTCCTGATGCAATTTCATTGTACTGGTGACATGGCCCAAGTCGATGAGGCTGTCACTTGTATGCGACAATGCACTTTGATGCAGCAAAATCTGACGTTCCGTCTTGGTACTGCTCTCCTAGAGCAGGCACAGATTGAGGACCGCAACAGGCGACGCCAGTACATATTGGAAGCCGCTGAGGTACTTCAAAAGGCATCAATGTCAGACCAGAGAGCAATTCAATTTATGCGGACTGGCCAAGACTTATCCCAAGTGTTCCAACAGACTAAGAATACACGGGACATTGACGCTGCTATTGGAAACTTACGGCAGGCAACATTACTCTTGTCGTCCGGACATGCTTTACAAGGTTCCTTGCTTGGTGAGCTAGCTCAGATGCTTCATAACCGCTATGATGAGACGGGGAATTTAAATAATCTGGCGGAAGCAATCGGGATTGGTAGAGTAGCACTTATCCTCCATCCTGCGTCTCATCCCGAACGGTCCACTTCTCTGAACAACCTTGCCAATGCAATTATTGCCCAGTATCATCAGAAAGGGGACATCAACGACCTTGAGGAGGTAATTGAGCTGCATAGAGAAGCACTCGCGCTTCACTCTACCTCTCATCCAGATTGTCAACTATATCTGCACAACCTCGCCACTTCGATTCAGTTCCGATATGAGCGGAAGGGGGACTTCAAGGACCTTGAAGAGGCTGTCAAACTCCACAGAGAAGCACTGGCCCTTGTCCCTGGCCCATGTCCAGCTCGTGGTGGTTCTCTGAATGGCCTTGCTGGGGTACTTCAAACCCAATACAAACAGCGTGGAGACTTCAAGGACCTTGAGGAGGCAATTGAACTGCTTAGAGAAGCACTCACACTATTGCCTGTACATCAGCTGGATTATCGCAGTTCTCTGAACAACCTTGGTTTTGCAGTTCAAACCCGGTATGAGCAAAAGGGAGACATCACGGACCTCGAGGAGGCAATTACACTAATGAGAGAAGTGCTTGCATTTTGGCCTGCACCAAATCCCAATCGTGGTCGTTCACTGAACAACCTTGCTTCTGCAGTTGCTCTACGATATGAGAAGACAAGCGATTTTAAGGACCTCCAGGAGGCAATTCAACTATACAGAGAAGCACTCACACTTCGGCCCACTGGTCATCCCAATCGTGGTGGTGCTCTGAGAAATCTTGCCACTGCAATTCACAGCCGGTATGAGCAGAAGGGGAACTTGAAGGACCTTAATGAAGCAATTGAACTGCATAGAGGAGCACTTGCACTTCATCCTGCACCTCATTTAAGTCGTGGTGATTCTCTGAGAAGTCTTGCCAGTACACTTCACACCCGGTTTGAGCAGACGGGGAACTTTCAGGATCTTGAGGAGGCTATTGAACTGAGTAGAGAAGCACTTGTACTTCGGCCCACACCTCATCTGGAACGCGCCATGGCTCTGAACAACCTTGCCAATTTACTCAAAGACCAGTATAAACAGACAGGCATTTTCACGGACCTTGAGGAGGCAATTACACTGCATAGAGAAGCACTTTCACTTCGGCCCATCTCACATCCGGATCGTAGTGCTTCTCTGAACAACCTTGCTCTTGCAGTTAAAAACCGGTACCTGAAGAAAGGGGATTTCAATGACCTTGAAGAGATGGTTGAACTGCATAGAGAATCACTTGCGCTTGTGCCTACATCAAGTCCGGTCCACGGAGATGCCTTGAGTAACTTTGCTGTTGCAGTTCGGATCAGGTATGAAGAGAAGGGAGACTTAAAGGACCTTGAGGAGGCCATTAGATCTCATAAGACAGTTGTGTCAATATGGCTTCCACCCCACCCTGATCGTGGGGATGCTTTGACTGATTTGGCGTACTTGCTGGCCCAAAACTACATGGGCACAGAGGGCATTGCAGATGTTAATGATGATGCTTTCTCACTTTATCAAGAAGCATCCACATACATGTTTTCTTCTCCTCTGAAACGTCTTCATCACACTCATACCTGGGCTCAACAAGCAGCTAAGCATGGTCATTGCTCAGCCCTTCCTGCATACCATGCTACCGTTGACCTTCTGCCACAAATAGCAGCACTCCATCTTGATGTTGTATCTCGACAGAAAATGCTCACTACATTACAAGGCGTTAAGCTTGCCGGTGGAGCTGCAGCCTGTGCCATTAAACAAGCAGAATTCAATGTTGCTGTGGAAATGTTGGAGGCTAGCCGGTCAATTTTTTGGACCCAAGCATTGCATCTTCGAACTCCACTGCATCATCTGGAGGCTGCTGATCCACAGCTTGCCTTGAAACTGAGGCAATTGGCACAGCAATTGGAACTGGCGTCATTTAGAGACACTTCTAGGACCCGGGGACCTGACAACCAGGAAAAGTTGATTGCAGTGGAAGCTGAAGGAGCCCGATGCCGTCAGCTTAATGAAGACTGGGAGGCAACTGTTGATCAGGTTCGAGGCCTGCCTGGTTTCAAAGAGTTTATGCGGCCAAAGGCCATAGCTACACTCCAACAAGCAGCCAAGTCCGGCCCGATTGTCATTCTCACTGGGACCCCAGAAAATTGTTCTGCTCTTGTTATGACATTGTCTGCGGATGTTCAGCACGTACCGCTTCCGGATTTGTCTCTCTCCCAAATGTACTTTTATGCTGAGCTCACTCAGGCACTTTCCTACCCCGGTTTCAATATCAATAAATTTCTGCGTCCGCGGGCGGTGGGACAAGATGCCCCGGAACAGTCCGAATTAGTGGCCCGCCTCGTTGCTGAGCGCGAAGGGGAAGTCAATATGAGCACCGATGCTGTATTCCGCTTCCTTCTAGGCGACCTCTGGAAATTAATTGTGAAACCAGTATTCAAGGCTCTGAAATTAGGAGTAAGTAATTTTGATGCTATTTGTATGCCTTCTTACTATTATTCAGAAATCGGCACATCCAAGTCGCTTGTGGTGGTGTCCTACTGGGTCTTTCAGCTTTCTTCCTATCCATGCAGCTGGGATATACTCAGAGGATGGCACAGACTGCGTGTCGGACTACGTGATTTCATCCTATACACCAACCATCACCACATTGCTGGATCCACCCAGTCACCCTGCTGGCCCATTCAAAATGACAACCGTCATCCAGCCGTACACCGAGGGCTATTCATCTTTGCCAGGCTGCTTGGATGAGCTCAAGAACATTATAGACAGGGTCCCCGGCCCATGGTTGACTGCTCTCGGCGATAAAAGCCAAGCAACCGTTCAGACTGTACTAAGACATCTTCGGGGATCATCCATAGTTCACTTCGCTTGTCATGGAGTTCAAGATTTGACGCATCCGCTTGATAGCAGTCTCATTCTCTCTGATGGCCGTCTCAAGGTCTCTGAAATTATGCATGGCCCAGAGACGAAAACTGCAGAGGAGATCAAGAGAGCCATGTCGCTTGCCTTCCTCAGCGCGTGCGAGACTGCGAAGGGCGACAACATCACACCGGACGAATCCATACATCTCGCAGCAACTCTACTGTTCGTGGGATTCCGCAGCGTAGTTGCGACAATGTGGTGAGTTCAGAATTTATTGCCATGGACAGCTTCTGACCTCTCATATAGGACCATACAAGATGAAGATGGCCCCAAGGTCGCAGACAAATTTTATGAACAACTTTTCAAGAAATGTGATCCTAATGCTAACCCACCAGTTCTCCCCGATCTCACAGAGTCGGCGGAGGCGCTTCATTATGCTGTCGCTGAGCTTCGGAAAACACCAGGTATCTCTTTCAGGAGATGGGTTCCATTTGTGCATTATGGCTTGTAGTTTCTTAGGTACTCCACTAGCTTTCTTACAGTAAGCTCGTACGTCCGAGTTCATTGTCATCCGCGGTGAATTGAAAAGCTATGTTCCTTGAGGCAGGATAAGCCGGACAATATTGTAGCCCAACCGTGCGCCAATTGGGAATGATATTATTTAGCCCGGCGAGAGTCTGACAAACTCACACCTATTACCTCGAGTTCATTATTATAATAAGATTCATGCTACCAGACAAAAAAGTTCAAGAAATTTAATTCGATAATTCGCGATTCATTTAGTGTCAGTGCTCTCCTGCCACCTCAAATGCCGCCCGCCCCTATCACGCGTGATACTCAAGATAAGTATTCTATCTTACAGTTAGAAAAACTTCGAATCGAACTTTCAAATGTTGAGAGCAAGCCGTTACTTGTTAAAATGAACCCAATCAGGGTCTGTAATTCACTGTGCCAGTGTATTAATTGTAACTGTCACACGGCGGCATGTTTTACCTCCGAGGACACGTAAGGAAACTACCCCGCAGTCAAATGGTCAGTAGATCGCAGCGAAACACAAACAGAGGCCGGCGCATATGGGGCTCGACTCATGAAAATGAACACGTGGAAGAGAAATAATACTATCACGTGCACACATCAGAAAACAAGTTTTAAACCGCCACCAGAATTCGACTGTAGCCGAATGCAGTCCTCATCGTTGATCATGCTTTACCACTGGCAGCAATGTGCGCAAAACAAGCACAAGACGGGGTTCTGGTTATTGGACACAATTCCGGCACTTTCCGGCCGGCGCGGCCTTAGTACAAGACTATTTGAAATGAGAGGAACCTTTCTATGATTATATCAACTGCACTCTTACTCCGGCATGGTGTAATGGTCAACATTTCCGCTTTTCAGCTTATGTAAGCATGAAACGTGGTCGCGGGAGCTCGGGGTTCGATTCCCCGTACCGGAACTTTTTTATTAACCTTCTGGCACGGGGTGATTAACCCGGGCAAACAGTCACAGCGGTTCCACCATGATATTGCGCCAGGCAGCTCACGACTAACAGGGCGGTGAGGAGAGAGAACATTGGGGCTTGAACTACAGTACGTGATTAAGTGAACACTGCAGCATACCTTGTATCGGTACGGTAAAAAGCAAGAGGTGATGCGGATCACGGACCGATTTTGTTTGGTGATGCGTTGCGCATCGCATGTGACACCGCTTTCTTCCATACCATCATCATCATGAGCATCCTCGTTACAGGCTCTACAGGCAAGACCGGCCGCTGTATCGTCAACCTTCTGCGTGATCACTCAGTTATCACCGTCTCTCGTCAGCCTGGATGCTCGGCTTACTTTGACTGGGAAGATCCCGCCACGTACATTCTTCCATTCGAGGCGGCGCGGGATACAGTCGTGTCTGTACATTTGATAATTCCAGCACATATTCCGACACAAAATGCCTCTGAATTTATCGATCTGGCGGTATCGAAAGGGGTCAAACGCTTTGTCTTGATGAGCGGCTCGCTGGATATTCCTGGAGATCCGATTCAGGGTCCAATACGCGCACATCTTCGAAATACGGGTCTTCCGTTTTGTGTCCTTCGGCCTTCGAGGTTCTTCGGTGCGCTTATCTGAATGTGATACTGTTAATCTGAATAATATGCACGTCTTCAGATAATTTTTCAGAAATGCCGGAGAGCGTTCGTGACCATGACAAGATCGTCAGTGCGACTGGCACAGCATCTATCGGCTTTGTCTCCTGTGAAGACGTTGCACGAGTTGCAGTCGGTTGTTTGTGTACAAAAGTACCACATTGCGCGGAACATATAATCGTTGGGCCAGAGCTTCTGTCATTCGACGAGGTCAATTTATATGTTTCTTATCATACTGCGATTAATGGGTTATCAGGTTGCTGAGTACTTTTCACACGTTCTACGCCGTCCAATCGCGCACGAATCGATTTCTGTTGCAGCGCAGAAGGAACTTTGGTTTGGGCTTGCCGATGATTTCATCAGGCTCATGGGGCTTGTCGAAGAAATGACTGCGTTGGGCGGAGAAGAAGCTGTTTATGCTACAGAGACGAAGATCATCGGAAAGAAAACCTTGACGGATTTTCTGCAGGAAAATTCAGATTTATGGATGCAAACCCCACATGTCGCTCTTCGAACGTGAATCTCTACTTTTCTGCAGAGGGTCCAAGTTCGGTTGATTGGTGCCGGAAATTGGAACGGCGGCTCGCAGTGTCCGTATAGATCGACACAGTTCCGCACGCTGGCGTTTGATTTTCAACACTTCATGCTCTTGTAAATTCGGCTCGTTCGGGTTAAATTTCTTTCATCTCCGTGGCGGATCTCGTGCGGAGGAAAGCCCTTCCGAATCCCAGGCTCAGCCAAGGTTGCTAGAAACAGGTAAAGGGAATATTTGATTGCACAAGTGAGTCGTGTACCTTCCCCCGAAAATGGTTTTTTTTCGATGGGGATGGTGGACAGCTTTCACGCTTTGTCTGCGCGACACTAGTTCTGCATATGTATAGGCTCGACAGCCTAAGCGACACATATGACAGTAAGTACCCGCGCTGGTTACCATTCTCTCCTCGAAAACGTACACGAGTGCTCAGTTGTTTGGTCTTGAACGGCCTTAGTTCCGTATGGACCTGCGTGAGGCGGTGGCGCTGTGCTCGTGGGTTCTCCCAAGTACGGAAATGGACGAATGGCACTTTTGAGGACTCTTTCGTGAAGGGGCGATATTCGGCGTAAACCGAGTGCCTTGAAAAGGCCTAGGAGTGTTAGAGTCAACGAAAAATATTTCACGACTGGAAAACAAACAGCGGTTCTCCGGATCTTACTTGTCTAAATAAGGTTCTTTATCATCCCCAAAGACATGACACTGGTACCTACACTTGAATGGCCGCCCAACGCCGAGTCCGTTCCACCCGCCGGTTCTTGATCCCGTCGAGCGTCGGCGTAAGAGCATCCCGGCCAGAGGCATCGTTCGGATTCCTACCGTGAGTCCCAAAAGATGTCTCTCAATCAACGCGTCAATGTAGTCTGTAGTTTACCGCGCCCCGGTTGCTAGGAGGGTCCGGCTATTAGATAATCATCTTTTTAATTGATTCCCACGGCCTCTTGGCGCACACCGCGACTCGGACAGCGCCGCGCTCTGCTGGCGCTCCCTCTCGCTATATCGACGCCGGCTGGCCGAAGTCTAGGTATATGGCACCTCAATATCGCTGGACCGATGCCCAAGGTCGCCAAACTCTTCGCACACTTGTTAAAAATCTTATACCGCAATGGGCAAATGGTCTCTATTCGCTGAGTTCTAGATCTAAAGTTATTACTTGCGGTGAACGCAATCTACATCCTGCCTCCGTCAGTTAAAATCTCCACGGCCTCTACTTTCTTTCCCTCGCGCCGAATATGGAAGGCGTGCACCTCTTCATACACAATTTTTTCCTCCGTGTCATCATTCCACGAGTCCATCGAGTCCAGATCACTCTCCCTCTCGCCAATGACCGTCACCTCGACGGCACGCAGTTTTGGCAGCGCCGGGAGGAGCAGGTTGATATCGCGCCGGATACCTTCAGCTGGGGCGAATTTGTCCTCGTCCAGGGACGCGTCGCCGTCGTCGGCGCCATCGAAGAATCCCGCATGGTGTAGTTTGGCCATGAGGCCGCGGTGATCGGGCACACTCATCCACACGTGCGCCTTCAGGTATCGGAGCTCGCTGAACGCGGCCAGAGCCTTGAAATCGCCCTGTACATGCCGCGCGTGCACAGGTTAGGGTGATGCAGTGCGGGTCGAGGCAAAGATAAGTACGACTGACCGAGGAGTCGAGGTGGATTTCGAGGTCCGTGAGCTGGGGACACGCGCGCGCCAGCGCCGTGAGCGTACGGAGGTCCAGGCCCTGCTTGTACATCTCGTCGTCGTCGTCGGAGTCCCGGTGGTAGTGGACCGGGCGATTCACCATGGCCAGGCGGCGGAGCTGCGGGAGCTTCTTCAGCGCGGCGACGATGGCGCCCCCGAGCCGGGACGGCTCGAGTGCGCCACGGACGCGGAGGGCGGTGCGGAAGACAAAGAGGGAGACGGTGAGGTCCCGGATGGGACGCTTCCCGTTGTACACTTGCAGGATGAGGTCCCGGATGGGACGCTTCCCGTTGTACACTTGCAGGAAATCGCTCGCGTGCCCCGTGAACGTCTGGAGAAGGGGAAGCGCGTCGTCGCGGAGAGGTTGCTTGATATTTCCGAGGGTCACGGCCACCTCAAGGAGGGAGGGGTGTGCCTCGAGGAAAGGGCAGAAGTTGGGGTGGCTGCTGCTGCTCCTGAGGAACACCTGAATTCTTGCGAATCGGAGGCTCGGAAAGCGCAGGGAGTTGACGGCCTCTTCGAGCGGTGCCAGCCGAGAGTGCATCGCCCAGGTGATGTCGATGTCGAGCACGGTCAATGTCGGCGATGCGGTGGGAACGAGCCGCAAAGACGCGGCGAAGAGCTCCACAACTTCCCGGGGGCAGATTTCTGAGGACCTAATGGATTGAGTTCTTTTGAGGAAAAGCAAGGGCCGGCAAACCGTATGATTCCGTCGACTCTTCGTATCCGAGTGATTTCAGCCCCGGAACCTGGAGGAACTGGAGACGATGGTGGTGGGCTGAATAATCTGAAAAAAAGGCTGCACTCACATCGAATCCTGTGCGCTGCCGGATGCTCATCTCGTACGGAGCAATCCTCAAGTCCTCCAAGCGCTGGAAGCGGGGGCGAAGACGCAACAGCGGGAAGATGCGGTCGACAGCATAATTGGATGTCCAATGGAAAACGCGGAGCCGAGACTCCCCGTTCACCGCGTACTGTGCAGTGTTGTTTAAAGCCACCTGAATAAGTGTTTGGTAAGCCTTGGCTCGTTTTTTTTCCACCTCTGGTTCAGCGGCGAGCGAGGGACAGAACCACAGCTTCAGCTCCCGGACAAGGGCCGCCGGATGCGCATTCAGGGCGGCAGGGCGGTGCTTCCCCGATGCCAAGCTCCAGAGCAACAAGCTTGTGCGCCTTGTATCGTCTAGGTCGATATGTGAATAAAGGGTGGGGCTGGCTTGTGCATGCATGGCGCGCGATGTAGCACAGAAGCTTGCGAGCGTAGCCAGGGAGGCTTGTTGTGCGATCGACGTCTTGAGCTCTAGTGTTAGATACATTGCGTCTGGTGCAAAAAACGGAAGAGTGTGACCGTTCTGTCTCGGTCACGTGGCAGACGTTTCAGTCCCCGGTCCGGCCACGTTTAAATTTATAATGAGGGAGATGAGTGATGGAAGACCGTGAAGCAGCTACTAGTTGCCCGATTACAAATTACATATAGCAACCGTTCCAGCCCAGCAGTTCCGCAGCGGAACTTTCGCTCTGCTCCGCTACTCATTTTGACACAGACCCGTTCATGCCCGGATTTTCGGACCATATTCCGATACTCACCGTCCTGCCTCGCTCCTTGCCGCCGGCTCCTTGCTCCTGCCCGCCATCCCGTCTCCCGCTCCTTGCCACCCGCCCGCCGCCCTCCCGCCCCTTGTTGTCTGCCCCGAAGGCCGAGATTGTCTAGTACTATATACAGGTACGGTCCGTATGCCCAAGCCGGTACCAGTGTAAAGTTGTACGGCCGTATTTACGGTATCAGACAGGTATCAATTTTGGCTATCGTGAGTACAAAAAAGGGGCAAATTATTTATCCACTGAGGCCTGTAACAAGCTTGCTGGGAGAAACACGTGGACAAATGCGGAACTTGGGGAAAATCGCTCTCCAGGCGACGGATGAAATCTAGAGGAGATATCGACTTGTATGATAGACCACAGCATATATCCTTCGCAGTTCAGTAGATCTGTGCTGAACCATGCAGACGGCCGCTTCGGAAACGGTGCGTTATTTTTCGAAATCTCCGGCAGCGGTAGATTCTGTAACAGTTCTGTCAGAGAGGGAGAGTTGGCGTCTTGCTGAGGCC